TACTCCGTTTGGCACATCGGTTTTCAGAGATGAGATTCTCATACACAGCATATCGCAAAGCTTTCAGTGCCATCTTCTTTTACAATTGCCTTCATTCGCCTTTCTGTGAACCAACCAAGCACTGTTTAGACAAATGTCCAGTAATGAGGGCTAATAATTTTCTGCTCAACAGATGTCACTAGTTGACACTGAGGTAAAGTTTTTTGTTACACAATGTAATTTAATTGAGAAGTTGTGTTTTTAATAAAAGTTTATCAGTTATTAGAGTTTTAAATTAATACATAAAACAATGCGTCAGTGGTTTGCTCTATAATTTTTTGCAAATATTAATTTTTTTAATTTTTCTACTTTTATGAACATCTGTGGTTTGGTTTATTTATTTTTAATGTTATTAATATAAAATATAGCTAATAGTACAGAAAGAAATAATAACTTTTACATTTTCCGAACAAATTAACTTGCCCGCTATAAAATCTGTCAAATATTATACCTCACTTTCTAGTGGCGCCGCCCTGTTGCAGAAAAAGTCGTGGATGCCCTTATTGCCCAAAACTGCCCATGTACCAGCGTTGTGTTTTGAATGGCGTTTTGTACAGCGATGTCTACATATCAGCTAGGTTGACTTCGCCCATATGTTTGTTGTATTTTCGCACAATTTGTGGACACTACTTAGTACAGTCACAGGTTCTGTCAAAACAATATTATTTAAAATTTTTGAATACTGGCTAGATGAACTTCACGAATTTAAAAATATAACGTTTGCGCTTGGCGAAAATATAAAAGACATTAATTTTCATGTATTTTCAAATATAGAGTGGTCGAAGAAAGAAGAGTAGCGGTAATCGCGTTGCACCGCTACGTTTCGCGCCAAAAGAGATTTTCAATATTCTAAAAAAATTGAAAATAACCCTACGATTTGTTTTTCGCACTATCAGACGATTCACTGAAGATTCAAGCTTCGAAGTTCGTAAGAGGACCGGCCGACCTCGTACAGTTGGGAGGTTAGGACACCTGCGATGATCAAAGCAGCGAAGGCGCAAATCCAACGAAATGCTGTTCGTAAAAAAAATCTTAGCTCTTCAGATGGGCCTAAGCAGAATCAAGGTCAGAAGAGTGATCAATAAAGACCTAGGACTAAGAGCTTATCGTAAGAAGACCGGACATTTTTTGAACGAGCGTTTCAAAAAAAAATAGGCTGGATAGATAAGGTGTATGCCCACAGCAGTGAAGAAGCCAGCACGCGTATTGCGAGCAGTGAAGAAGCCAGCACGCGTATTCAGAGGGTTCAATGAGCACATTATCCTTCATCGCTCATGGTTTGGCTTGGAGTCTCATAATCAGGTGAGGTGTTTTTCTGTGAAAAAGGTGTAAAAACCAGTGCCGAGGTGTACCAAAATACCGTCCTAACAAACATAGTGGAATCTCTCTCAAACAATGTTCAATAACAAATATTGGATATTCCAACAGGACTGCACCAGCTGATAGGCCACGAAGCACACAAAACTGGTTGACCGCCCATGGAATTGACTTTATCGGACATGAAGACTGGCCCTCTCCTAGTCCAGATTTAAGCCCACTGGATTATAAGATATGGCAGCATTTGGAGGAGAAAGTCTGCGTTAAACTTCATCAGAATTTGGAATCTCTTCGAGCATTTTGGCTAAAGCAGCTCTAGAAATAGATATGTGTGGTGCGTGCTGCGATTCGTGATTGGCCGCGTCGAAGGGCATGTATTCAAAATAGGGGAGGGCATTTTGAATAATGTAAATAAAATTGTATTCTAAATTAAATTACCTTTCATTTCATATATAATTATCAAAAAGTGAAGTTTTTGGCAGAACTTATGACCTGACTAGGTACATCTACTTTCTTCTTCTCATTCTTCGAATATTGCAAGATTTTTTCCACAGGCTCACTAGCGACAAAAGAACCTATAAATGACAACATCATTGTCATTCCAACGTCTACTGCCAAACAATTCTTGTCGCATGTGACTTCAGCCAAATGTTCTGTCTTTTTTCTTTTTGAATGTTTTTTTCATTTGGTAAAACCAGTGATGGAAAAAATCATGATTTTTTAAAATTTTAATCAAATCATGCTGATTTTTTTGTATATTTTGAAATTCACGAGTTGGTAACGTAGTAACTTTTTGACATAGTAGGATTAAAAGTTTATGAATACATAATATGTATGAGACTAATTAAGAATAAAATAAGTAATACTGTTTTAATTACAGTTCATATCTTAAGTGTGAATTTTTTTAAAATTCTTTGGTTGATTTTACTAAGTTTATGAGACTGACAGACCTCATCGCTACAGTCTTTGTTAATTTTCCAAAGTTTACGAGACTTGCAGTAGTATATATATTAGTCTATGACTTGCAGTAGAATAATAACAAATAATAAGAGTAACATAAAACTATAAAGGATTTTATCTTATTTTAAGCAAGCTTTATTTTATTTTCTATCTATTACATTAATTTATACGTTTATTTAAACCAATGCAATTTTTTTAATCTAAATCAAGCAATTTAAATCGTGGTTTAAATCAGCCAACCCTGGGTAAAACCTTTTCTGCGCCTCTGATACGATTACTTCGTATTTCCCAAAGCGAAAATAACATATATCTCTCGTAAACTATAAAATAACTCTGGAGACGAAAATAAATTATCGCAATAGATAACTGACTTCCGTTGGATACTCTGACACAAAGCAATAACTACTTGAGTGCCAAAACCAAGAGATTCCTCTTCTTCGGAAAAAGTATGGTTACGAAAGGTATCTTCACCACCATAAACTATAGTCATAGATGATACCCGAGACCCCAGCCCTTACATAATTTTTCAAACCTCATTTGCTTGGCTTATCTTTCATTTACTGTTCGCGTTTTTCTGCCTTAGTTTCCTTGTAAAGAATCATCATTTCATCTGTAGTGTATCGTGTTTCAGTTTCTTGTTGTATGAATCAATAATCGAGGTATGAAGGCATTTCAAACAAAGAAGACCAATAATCGAGGTATGAAGGTATTTCGACTATACCCATCATAATTAGATGAATTGCCAGAAAATCTTTCAACTCGTTCTCAGTCAATATTATTGACTTGCCCAACTCTTGAACTGAATAGAAATTATACTGGACAACAATGTCTGTCAATATTATATCCTTAGAAAAGAACATGTAGCAGTAAGTCAAGGGGAATGATGTAGCGTCCGGTAAATCAACAAAATCCCTTTCTAGGTTTTCTTCAATTGTAGCTCTGTGGCAAAACGATGCAAGTTTCCATTTCTAAGCCAGCTGAAACTTCTTTGGTTTTTAGGCTCTCTTTGCAGCTGGTGCTTTTGAAACCTGTTTTGATCTTAAGATTCGTTTTCGTGACCTTACAGGATATCCTGGTGTGATAACTGTAGATGGAAGTAAAGGGATTGCAGATAATGACGGTAAGTCTTCGTAATTAGATTCTTGAAGATCTTGTAGAATAGGAGTAAGAGGCATTGAATCAGGTAAATCATATTGTTCGCGCCAAACGCTAATGTCAAGAATCGACGCCAGAGGGCACTCGGCTCGGTGCGAACTGGTTTGAAGTTCGGCCGAGCGTGGCAAGAGCGGGCGGGTCGCGAGCGAAAAGTCAGTCGTCCTTAGGCAGTGCTCACGATTGGCACGCTGTATTCTGTTAGGGAACTCGGAATAATTCGGCGCGGCCAGTAAATATACGGTCTATCATTGTGACGCGCATTCCTGCTGGAGAGCTTCCCAGGGACTCATTGTGTTTGACTCAGAATCTGCATAAGTGCATTAGGCAATATTAGCTAGTGCGGCCTCTGATATTCTAGAACTAACTGTTGCAACGCGAAACGGTAGCGGTCTTTGGTCCAGAGGCTCCGTGTGCGTTTGTGCGGTAACCTTATACCCCGCGATAGTTAGTGGCTTCTGTAAGTTAGTTAATCGTACGATAGAGTTAATTGACTGTCATCGTGACGAAAGAAGAAAGTGACTGTGGTCGGGCGCCGAAGCAGTCTGAAGCGGTGCAGCATTTTGGAGCAGCCTGGAACTCAGCAGCGGCTGGTCGCCTATGCTTGACAAGGCCCCAAACATTCACACCTCACTGTACACTACTCGCCATCCACTATTACACACACTCACGGCCTGCCCAAGCCTTGGTGCGAAGTTAGCTTCGGATAATGGTAAGTACTATGTCTTTCTAACGTCCTCCCATCTGGTTTATTGTAATTAGGAATTTCCACGTGGCCATATTCTGGCCCCGCCCCTCTGCTGCTCGTCGATGGGATTACGCATGGGCCCTAATCCCGTCAGCTTTGGTTGGGGCAGCTAGGGGCGTGTACAAGCTGGTAGCAGAGTGCGATTCCGGGCTCGATTCCCGGTCGATCCCGACCATAGTGTTTGATAAACATTAAACAATTCTGGTGGCAGGGAGCGTTGGTTTGATTGGTTTAATTTGTATCTACAATCACGCCCGTCCGTAATACGTAAAAATATTTTTTTGTGCAAAACGAAGTGAAATAATAAAATTATTTCCCTTTGTTGTTTGTTGCTTGCCTTTTTTTGGTTAGTGGGTAATTTGAAAAACCGCGCCCTAGGTTGCGCAAGCGGGAGTTTTTCTAGAGATATACGTCATGTGGGTAGATGGTTATTTTTACGTAATCGGTTAATTATCGTTGTCGGATAGTTGTAGTGGATTACTTATCGAAGGGTCAATTTCCGAGCTAGGCATTTTTTTGTTGATCGACCGTGATGTGTATCTTCGTTTATACTGTAAGTTGTATTTGAACTAAAGAGTAGTAATTTGTATTTGCGCAATTTGAATTTAACTTGATTTGATCGCACTAGTATTTGTTAATTTGATTTGTGTCTTTTCTTTTGAGCTAACTTGTATTTGGTTGATACGTAGTAATTCGTATTTGTGTAATTTCTATTCAACGCGATTTGATAGGAACTGCATTTATTAACTGTTATTTTTTGTTGTATTTTTTATTTGTTATCTTTGTAATTTGTGCTCGAGCCGCGTCGTAATTTGTATTCAATAGTGATGTCATCGCCCAAGCTACTGATCCGTTTTCTGCGGACTGAGTTGCGCTGGGCCACAAGCGCCCATGCTTTGATAGGTCGACCGGATATGGTCCATAACTTGATGAAGCGGTTCGAGCAGGTGGATGCTCGAAGGTCCGCAGTGGAGGAGGCTTACGCTGAGCTCGAGGATTCGGATGTGGAGAAGGGAGTGCTGGACTCCTGCTTCGCGGACTATGAGCAGTTCTTGTGGCTCACGGACGAGTTGATCGAGGCTGAAGGCAGGTATGCCGAGGAGGCGCGTGAAGCTCGGATGAGTGACCTGTCCGAGTCCTCTCTGAAGCAGCTGCAGCCGGAGCTGTTGGGACGACTCCCAACTCTGGACCTGCCAAAGTTCTCCGGGGTCCTTTCCGAATGGCTGACCTTCGTTGGTCTTTTAGACAGCCTAGTGGACGCCCGGAGTGACCTGACCCCGATCCAAAAGATGGCGTACCTCCTGGCTTCACTGGATGGGGAGGCCCTGGGCGCGTCGGCCACTTGAGATTGTCGGACGACGCCTACCAGACTGCTCGGGACCTCCTAACCAGAAGATACGCTAACGTCCGGCGAATTGCGGACGAACATGTTAAGCAGCTTCTAAGTCTCCCGCTGCTTAGTGACCGGGCCAGACTACGTCCGGACCTGTTGGATCCAGTCTTGGTGGCCTGTAATACGTTGAGGCGGCTGGAATTACCAGTGGGCGAATGGGCTTTTTTATTGCTCCGCATCGTGCTGTCCCGTCTACCTCTCGACCTTCGAATCCATTTTGAGGAGAGGTACGGCGGGGACGAGGCCTACTATATTCCGCCCTTCTATGACCTGCTGCGGTTTTTGGAGGAGCAGTGCCGGCAGATCGAGAACGCGGCGGCCACCGTTGACGACTTATGAGCCGTGCCCAGTGAGAGGCAGAATCCTCCAGGCAAGTCGTCGTCAACCCTCCCCTGCTCCTATTGTCGAGCGTTTGATCATCGGGTAACGTCGTGCCCGAAATTATTAGGTAAGCTGGTTTCGGCGAGTCGAACTATCGCCAAGGAGCGCCGCTGGTGCTGTTCATGTCTGGGAGGGCACCTCCATCGAGACTGTCCGCATCAGCGGCCCTGTCTGCATTGCCAGGGCAATCACCATGCAGTTTTGTGCCTGGGTGCGAACGGCGTCTCCTCTCGGGGCTCTGCCAGGCTCTCGACCCCCACGGGCGGGGGCGCTCAGCCACGCCCTCTGCCGGGCGACAATCGGCGCCCGCCGGCCAGCCACCAGGCCCCTAAGTTTGGAAGGGGCCCCTCCCCCGCCCAGTCGGGGGGTAATTCCCTCAGGGGCGGGGGTGTCATCACCCCCCCTCAGCGTGTGGAGAGGAACTTCACGGTCACTCATCGGTCCGCTGGACCCTTCTTACTCCCGTTAGCTGAGTGGCCGCGACTGGTGTACCACTGTTCCCCATTTGATGGAGGCGGCCCTGGCTAGCTGCCGCCTTAGCTCCCACCACGGCCGCCTCCACTGAGCCTTGAGCCGTCAACAGTCCACTTGTCAAGGTGTTCTGTTGCCGACGTCCTCAGTGAGGCTTACAACCCGAGTGGCGACTGTTAGCAGTCGCACTCTATCGATCTCGGGTTCACGCCATGTGGCCTCCCCTTGGTGGTGGGAAGATTAGGGCCCCCCTGGAGCGTTGAATCACGCTGTCAAGGGGTATTAGATTTGGTCTGGTCGAGCATTTAGTTAAAAAATACTTTGAATTAAAATTAAAAAATGCTTTGGGCTTTCCGCGAAATTTTCCTATCTGTAGCGGTTTAAATTAAAAGAATTGAATTTAATCTACTCCTTTAAATGCTACTGCATGTGTTTTGTACATATATTTAATCACTGTATTTGATTGTTGCGTCTGTTTGCTGAAAGGAAATAGAATGGCGCGCTATTTGAAAAATTATGTAACATATACATAGATAGTGTTTAATCATTTTGCTTTGCGAAGAAGTAGGGCTGTCCCTTACGTTATTGTTTTGTTCAATTTGCAAGTTGACCTATGCGCATCGGTGATTAATTTGGTTGAATTAATTCTGTAGTTGAACATTGATGCTTTTGAAAAATTAGTTGAAATATGAGCATAGGACTACTTGCCTAACAGGCTAGCTAGTTTTGGAGATTATCAGATTGAAATCAGCTGCCGCACTATTTTAGTAAATGATAATATGGTGGGTGGCCTGGCTAGCCTACTTGTTGAAAATTCATACTAGGGACTATCTGTGCGTTTCGTTCGGCTCTCAACAGACTATGTTCATGTGGAATTTGTGGGTGCGCTCTGCACTGAAGCAACAGCTGGCACAAAATTTGTCTGGGCAGCTTCGTGTAGCGTCGCTGTTTGCAGAGCTGATCCGGTCGGATTGCGGAACTAACCATAGGGGCACAGATAGGTGTTTGAAAGAGGTCGTCGGATTTCTATCCAGTACAGGACTTAAAGTGCTGCGATGCCCAGGAGGGGCATCCAGTGGAGGCTGACCCTCCGGCTTGCCACATTAGGGCTATCTTTTGAGGCGTTGGTTAGGGTTGCAAGATCTGATGGGGTGCCTAAGGTGGCCTAGTTTGGTTGTAGATTCTGTCTTGCAACTTGTCGTCGCGACCTTGTCCCGCTGACCGGGTTGCTCGCGGACCTAAATCCTTATGTCCGGGACGGGGGTTTGTTCGCGCCAAACGCTAATGTCAAGAATCGACGCCAGAGGGCACTCGGCTCGGTGCGAACTGGTTTGAAGTTCGGCCGAGCGTGGCAAGAGCGGGCGGGTCGCGAGCGAAAAGTCAGTCGTCCTTAGGCAGTGCTCACGATTGGCACGCTGTATTCTGTTAGGGAACTCGGAATAATTCGGCGCGGCCAGTAAATATACGGTCTATCATTGTGACGCGCATTCCTGCTGGAGAGCTTCCCAGGGACTCATTGTGTTTGACTCAGAATCTGCATAAGTGCATTAGGCAATATTAGCTAGTGCGGCCTCTGATATTCTAGAACTAACTGTTGCAACGCGAAACGGTAGCGGTCTTTGGTCCAGAGGCTCCGTGTGCGTTTGTGCGGTAACCTTATACCCCGCGATAGTTAGTGGCTTCTGTAAGTTAGTTAATCGTACGATAGAGTTAATTGACTGTCATCGTGACGAAAGAAGAAAGTGACTGTGGTCGGGCGCCGAAGCAGTCTGAAGCGGTGCAGCATTTTGGAGCAGCCTGGAACTCGGCAGCGGCTGGTCGCCTATGCTTGACAAGGCCCCAAACATTCACACCTCACTGTACACTACTCGCCATCCACTATTACACACACTCACAGCCTGCCCAAGCCTTGGTGCGAAGTTAGCTTCGGATAATGGTAAGTACTATGTCTTTCTAACGTCCTCCCATCTGGTTTATTGTAATTAGGAATTTCCACGTGGCCATATTCTGGCCCCGCCCCTCTGCTGCTCGTCGATGGGATTACTCATGGGCCCTAATCCCGTCAGCTTTGGTTGTGGCATCTAGGGGTGTGTACACATATGTTGCATTAATTTTAGGTTGTTCGTCTTCAGAAATACTAATATTCAAATTTTTAAGCGAAGATGCAATTAAAGGTGCAGTAGAGGAATAGTTGCTGTTAGTAGAAGGACAGTCATCATGCATTTCAAATTCAAAATCTGATTTTCCACTTACATCTGAAGGAGCATACTGGTTAGGAACTAAGCCTAATATTCTAGACGCACGTGTGTGCTGTTGACAAGCGGAAAAAAAAACAAAGAAGAAAGCACCCATAACCGCAAATTAAACGAACTTTGATGTCCGTCCCAGCGGACAATGTAATGTAGAACAACATGTCTAGGTCTTTGGCAATGTACGCTGCGACCGACGAAGAGGTTAAGAAGCAAAAAAAAAAACCAATAGAACACACTTCAAACGTTAGGAATTACGGGTAATCATAATCACACATATATATTCTATCACCCAATGCAAAATAATTTTACTATTGTTACATAAAACATTAAAATACTGTTGCACGCCACAATTAATGAATGGTACATGGCAACACTAGTTACCACTAGCGCCCTCTAGTATCGAGTAGCAGAACAAAGAGTCAAGATCCGCCTACAAATTTCCATAGAAGAACTTTCTAGAACTATCGACAACTAGTCAGTCGGGACCGGTATGTACTCGAACATTCTAGATGATTCTACAGTAGAAGGTTCTAGGTTCTGGAAACTATCTGAGGCCCTATATAAGGCCAGTATAGACCGCAACCGGGGTCAGCTCTCTCTTATGTGAGGAACGCGGATCTTCGACCTCGACATGTTCCTATCCATTCGTATCTTAAGGAATTATCCTTAAGATATTTCAATTCGATTAAAGAGCACAAAAATCCGTTGTGAATGAGGCGGGCTCGTACTCCCCAGTGAGGGATGCCGCCCCCCGCGGGAGACGTCCCAAGAACGTTCTTCTTGATCCCGACGACGAGATCACTTCCATGAATAGGTCGAAATAGGAGGGAACCCGTTTAGTTAACATTAACACACACACACACACTCAAGACACTACTCTAGTTCAGAACACTAGCGCACACCGCTTCGTCGGCGAACGCGAGGTTACAGACACACCCCGTACACGAGGTTCAACACCCGTGATACTGGGCGTTTCTAATTTTTGCGTCCCGTAAACAAAATTGCGATAATGATTCAAGCCGAGGTTCGTACCTCCTTCTGAGGGGCCCTTGAATCGCATCGAGATTAATAAAAAGACCGGCGTCAGTGTTGAGTTGGCAATACAAACCAATACTTACAAGTAATACAACTGCGAATTAGTGATCAGTAGTACAATTGTGTTTTGTTATTAGTGTGGTTTTAAGTTATAATTAGCGTTCTCTAATTAAAGTGTCAATTTTGGTAATAAACTCGGCAATTTTTAATTGTCTCGAACCCCAAGCTCGTAACAATACCAAAAGTTTTACCTTGCTAAAAGCAGATGATCGCCTTCTCGCCAACATTTTTTCAAAGAACAGATACAGTGTTGCCACTCTAGGAATTCATTTTGTACAACCTTATTTATGTAACAACAAATAATTGCCAGTAAAAAAAATATTTAAAATCCATTTACAAGACGCACAGGATTTTTTGAGTTATGTCCATCCCAGCAGTCAAAATCAAATTAAGGGTTAAGTTCATCCATAACTTGTAATTCCGTATCATATAATTGATCCACTAAAGCTATATATAATGAGTAGGATATGTTCGTAAGATTTCCAAGTCACTTGAGATACCCGCAAGATAAAATGGGATGGATAGTACTAAGCCATCACCACACTTCAAAAATTACTTTGTACCTAACTACAACAAGTGGTCAAAAAAAAGGATGATTTATCATTATCGAAATAAAAAAAATCTAATTTAAATGTATAACATGGTTGGGCTACCACTTGTATGGAGTCCTCTGATAAATAAAAGTTTAAAGCAAGTACCCAACTGGTAGTTCCAACTGCCATGGTTTCACAACATTGAGTGATATATTTATTGATATTAGTTTGAGTATCAGAAAGTGTAGTTGTACAAAAAGAAAACTCAAAGTAGATTACTTAAAACTAATCACAGCCAGAGAGAAGCTGCTTGGGCGAAGTGCAATGCTCAAAACAGTTCTCAGAGATATCAAAATCTTTATTATAACTAAATTTTTAACAGTGGATTATTTCTTGGCGAATGTTATCTTCATAGCATGTGTGGGAGTGATTTTAAAGCCTTGTAGAGCTTCCTTTGCTGCTGCTGATTGCATCTCATTGGCAAACTCAACAAATGCAATATCATGTCTGTTCGGCACAAGACGGACTTCCTTAAAACCAGGGAATCTGAAAAATAAAGACTTATGTTACAAATATATTGCTTTTGTGCTATGCTAAAAAGTAGATCATCACCTTAATCTAGCTATGACCCTATACTAGCAGTTTAATAAAAAATTATACACAAAGATTGTCTCTTGGCCAATTCTAGCTTTTCAGAAATTGTGAATTAAAGTAATGTTGAATATTAGAAAATATGATACTGAATATGCATTTTATGAGTCACTAGTCTAGCTGCATTTTCTATGTATATTATAACTAAATTTAAGCCTAGACTGGTAACTAAGTACATCGATAAAAGTTCATACCACTGTTTCTGCACTTTTGGTCATTCTGTTAATACTATCAGTAACATAAAATTTGACACATTTTTTTTTATAGGACAAGGGTGACAAGCAAGCACACAGTCCTCCTGATGGTATGATGGATGATGGTGATGAGTGGTTGCTGTGGCCCATAGATATCTACATTTATCCTTGTTTGTGAACCAAAATGCAGATCCATTGTCAGCTGTGTAGACTAAGGTGGAATGCCTCTGTTCCAGTAAAAAGGGTCTCTGGTTCTGTTCTCTACACTCACCATATGAAATATAACAGCATTAAGCTGCTAGCTTTTATTTATATTTATATTTATGCATATATAGGCGAAGATAAAAGCAAATGCTTAAAATAGCCTGAAGATTTTGTTAACTTGAACAGTCTACACTCTACACCACTAGAGAACTAGAATTCCTCCTTTCCAGTGGAAAGGGTCACCAGTACTTCGCACTCACCATACAAAACACAGCAGCATTAAGCTGCTATTTTATGCTGGTGTTGGGGCCCCCCACAGTTTAGCTATAACATAGCTGCAGAATGATTCTATTAATGAAAAATTCAAATATCCGCCCAAGGAGACAATCTATGGTTGAGTCCTATGTTCAGCAATAGATTTTAATAGGCTGTAACAGCAATGCTATGATTCTACAACATATAAAATCAAGGGGAATCAGTGCTTGAGACTACTACATTTACAACACAGTGATATAACTATCAAGTTCTTGACACCAGATATAAAATACCCAGATTGGCAACACCAAGAGTTAAAGATGCATGATATCTGGTACTGTGATTACCAGTATGCCTGTCATACATGGAAATAACAATGAATCTGTCTTACTGTGAGACTTGCTTATGTGCAACAGTGGACTATTGGCTAAATTTGTAAGCTACAACAGAACACAAAAAATACTCACTGATTGAAAAGCATAGACAACATCATTTCAGAAGTCTCGTCAGGAAGATTTGTAAGGAACAGAATTTGATTTGGTGGTTGTTCTGCATTGACACTGTTAAGTAGATTGGGTTGTCCAAATCCTGGAATAACACTACGATTGGCATCTTTGCTTTTCTTCTTCTTTCCATCCTCAGAACTTCTCGGTGCTTTGGGGCGCTTTGGCCTTTCTTGGAATGTTCCCTTAACTTTAGCAATGATATCACTGTCTGTCTTTGAATATTGAATTCTCTAAAAAGAAATATGAAAATTTTACATTATTTACATTTATTTTTTACTAGTGAAACAGCTTCACCTGTGTGAAGCTTATTAATGCCACACCTTATTAATGCTGCATTATTTAGATTTAAGACAGTCATCAAAGAATATTTAACTTTTAAAATTGTTAAAAATTCAAACACATAAAATACTCTTGGTATTGCTCCCTATCTGTTCACTAACTTTGATTACAATTAGTTCAGCTATTCTAAAAATTTGATCAGACAGTTAATTCATCTTACGAGTAAATAACCCCTACAGCTCAGTAAGATGATTAATATGGTAAAAATAGGTTCTATAAGTAATTACTATAATATGAAAATCATACCATTGGTTTGTCATAAAATGGAAATCCTTGCATACTTCTCAATGCTACAGTTGCACTTGAGATTTCTTTAAATATAACAAACGCTTGACCTCTCATCTTCAATGTTTTCATTGCAACAATATCTAGTATTTGACCAAACTGTGAAAAGATAGCATAAAGGGATTTTTTAAGCTCCTCCTTTTTTATTTTCTCATTTAGATTATTTATGTAAATCGTATGATTGGGACGAATATCCACAGCTGAAATAAACAAAATAAAATGTGATTATTACGTTCTGTAGATGCATTAAATAAATAGGTATCGAAAAAACATCTCGGTAAAAGAGAATACCCAAGAAAATAAAAAAGATTATTTTTATGTTTTTAAGGTTAGAAATAGAACATTATGTTTTTATTATTCTAATAGCGAAATAATTAAGGAAGTATTATGATACACAAAGATTAACAAAAAAATATTAGGCAAAATTAACAAACATACTCATTTTTAGGCAGGCACTGATTACTTGTACACAAATGCCGGGATAATTAAACACCTTATTGTACTGATTTCAGTTATGGTGAAGTACTCTATTATTATTTCAATTAATGCATTCAAATCCGTACAATAGTTACAATTTCACAAACTATGAATCTATGAAAGAAATATGAATAAATTATGAGAATAAGAACACGAGTGCGTCGGTCAGGTCCACAGACTAATATCATAGATAAATATATATGTAGCAAGCTAACTAATATCCAAAATTCCAAAGAGTATAGTAACTGTCCTATACAGGAACCAAAGAGTATAATAACTGTCCTATACAGGAAAAGAGAGCCTACTCGTGCGTAATCTGTCAACCGAGGAGTATTAGCGCCGTCTGGTGTCGTTTCGCCACAATATTGTGAGAATGTGTGCGTGCCTATAACACATACACCTCTACATATACACCTCTGTTCATGGTCATTCATTACGCTTTATGTACTAGAATTAATTATCAACAATCAACTGTGAATTAAACATTTGAAACATTTTTTGAAGATAACTGCATAGTAACTAAATGTTTCAAATGTTTAATTTAACAGCCGGTGTTAATAATTAATCCTAATACATAAAGTGTGTCACAATTTGTAAATAGGAATTAACTATGATATTTTTTAACATAAATGAAATTAAATACAAATAATTGGTACATTATTCTATATTTTTTGAACTTAATGAAAATAAAGGAGATAGATAAAGATTTAACATAGTTTTGACGATACAACATATAAAACTAATATTTTTATTCTAATGTTTATATCATTAATAGATTAATAACACAGCTAGTGTCTATACAAAAATAGTAAATTTTATTATTTTTATAAATGAATGAGTTTATTATAATAAATGAATCATAACAAACTTTTTACAAAATGTTAAGCTAATACCATAACGGTAAACTGAAGCGGCTATGAATCAATCCAAAGCTGTAATCACGCTTGGCAAGTGGGTTGGCAACTGCAGTTATTAGGAAGATCAGTCCACCTGCTGATGTGTTTCCCTCTGTCGCCTCTTACGATGACACCCAAGGGATGATAATATGGGATTGTGGATATTCTGAGACATTTTTTTACAATAAATGCTTCGTAAACACAGATTTCCTCCTGAGACTTATGAATCATCGTGTAGAATCATTATTAACCACCACCAATTATCATGCAGAGTCAGAGATTGCTCTTCGTAACAATATCAACACACCAACCGCCCCCCCAGGATACGAGGAATAAATCACAATCAAGAGAGGAAACAGAGGAACAAACAAACTCACAACAACCACCATCCCCACCCCACCAAGAATCCCCCACAACAGTCCCCATCTCTACTGTCAGAATTACTTCTTATTAAAAAAACCAATCAAAATAATACCTTTTATAACAATCTCAGAAGAGCTGTGTTCACCCTCCATCCGTCAACCACATCCCCCCGCAAACGATGAATGATCAATCGGTTGCTGTAGAGGACCCAATTGGATAACTCACACACAACTCCAACCAATCAGAAATGCCAAACATAAGGAATCAGAATCAAATGCCTACACAGAAAATCAGCCGATTATATACAGTCTCAAAGATCATCACATTGCTAGGCGTGATCCTGATCACAGTGGGCATAATCCAATTAATGATAATGTTTATCCCCTCCAACAATGATGAATTGCATCCCCTTATTAGCTCCATGAAACCGAGTAGATTAGAAGCCTCACCCAAAGTATATATTGAATCAAATGATTTGAAACATCTCAAGCTATGGGATAGATTAACAGTGCATAAGATTCTCCCACCTCAAAATGTTAGTACTATTCCTGGCATCATATATTGGGACTCTTTAATTACATACCGTTGCCCCTTCCTCTCTTCTAAACCAGAGCCCATTTCTATCATTCCAGTAATTACTCAAGAGTTTCCAATAAAATATGGATGGGACTCACTAGGAGAGTTTGAAGATGGTGATCACTTATACTTAAGAGGTCACCAATACTTTGAGAAAATACAATGCACCCATGAAAAGCTATGGGGCACATATGACATACGACAGCTCACTATCATCAAAACATCCTTTACTTTAGAAAATCAGAAGTTTAAGGCAAATATTTCATTTCCAGTTGATTCTCCTTTTTCCCTTCCCCCGGACTACTTTCGTCAGAGTTGGGCAATACTTCCCTCCCCCAAATTGTGGTGTCGGGACTATCACACTATCTCTGATGTACGAGTTATACTTACTAAAAAACACTCAACATTTTATCAGCTATCTCCCAGCCCAGCAGATGATTCAATTCTATTAAGTTTAAATGACCCAGTTGACCATTGTTTATCCCATCTAGGTAAACAAACTGTATACTGGTGGTCACAGGGGTTCTTCTATCAGTTAATATATGAAGGATCCGCACATGATCCTGACCAGGTCACGAAAGAACTGACCAGAAGAGCCAACTTAAAGATTGTGGGAAGATGGTAACACCTCTGCGAAGCCTCCTCAGATCATCCTCTTTATCCCTCCTCTTCCATGCATTCACCGTTATACTACCTCAGAAATGTCACTCAAATCATTCCTGCACCAAGATCATCACCTACATCACAGTCTATCATATTATTATCATTATTATTAAAAAAAAAACCAATTAAAATAATACAATTATACTACAAAAATTACAGATCATAGTGCTGTCACACTAAAGACTCTCTTATTTACCATTATACCTCCATCTCCATCCCCACCAGAACACCCTTTTCCAAAAAATCTATTGAACATTCCTAACGACAACCATGGAATTGATTCACCAAATTTTCATTTTCATTTTTAACTTAGTTTTTGTTTTTGATTTCAGCTTTCCTTTGCCCATTACAGGGGATCTGAACTCCATCAGAGGATCCAATGAAACCTCACTTTCTGAGAAAATCCATTTTAGAATTAACTCGAGTGTTGAATATCACTCTTTCCCAACTAGGCCAAATTGTGAGTCCTTATTAAATATTAATGACATACAATATCCTATATCTGTTGCCATCTGGAAGATTGATTTAACTAATACTGCCATCCAGGGAGTCTTAGTTTGGTCTGAACTAGTCAACACCCGATGCACATTTGGATTCTGGGGCTCTAAATCTGCCCATATCGTAGACAACTCTGTAATTCCTTTAATTACAACCCTGAGTAACATTAACTTTGAAAAATATTTCACCAATCCCATTGATGAAGTAATCGAGGACCCAAGCATTCCATGGGAATCCAAATACTTATGTCATTATTGTCAAAATGACTATCCAGGCCATTATGAAAGAACTTTATATAAAAGAGTCATTATTTCAAGATATCCCGATGGCAGTATTCGGAGTCCTTTGGGGAACTGGGGTCATGTGACAAAAAATATCTACACTGACGGTAAGGGATACCTAAAACACACGAGGTCCGATATGGGGTGCTTTCCATTTCTTCTTCCAATACTTTAATAATCTCTCTTCCGTCCGTCAAGCAACAATACTCAATTCCGGAGGGCAGTGACTACATGGAATGTGCATTAGGAGATCATAAATCCCTTCTTTGGCACACTGCTTGTGGGTATATTATATCTTTTTCTGGAGACGGTATCCCTATGATTCCAAATATCTTAGATCATTTGTTAAAATCATCTGTCTCTTCAAGGTCTAGGAGACAAAGCTTTTATGATATTATCCGGCAAAGATTCAGTCTCTTAAATTCTAAAAGATCGAGGAGATCTAGGCATACTGATCTCATAGAATTTTCCTCAAATTTAAGATCTGATTTCGGATACACACAGTTTAGATATGAGGTCAATTTTATATTAAAGCAAATTAATAAAAACCTGATATTGATCCAGAATAATATATGTGATTTTCTTCATCTTAAATGGACTTCTCTTTACCCCCCTGATCTGCCTAGAAAAGTTGCTCAATATATAACACATTCTCCCCATTCAATCGGAGAATTCCGTGACGGGATTTATCGCATCACCTCAACAATCGAATCTAATATTCCCATATCATTAAACATACCATTGATTAGGGAATACGGAATGTTCAAGGTTCAAGGTGACCACAAAAATGAGACCTTATGGGTAGAGCCGATCACAGGGAATCTCTTTAAAGATCCGCATTGGACTCATTACTCCATGATTGCTTCCTGGCTTCCAATGAGAAATGGTACAGGAATCGATCCATTAACAGGTAGGATTATCAGCTCTGATACTGCTAACACCCCAATTACATTAATTGAACAAACCGAAGAATACTACCCTACCGCTTTATACTCCCAAGGATCTCTAGCTGGGATCACTGAGGATAACATATTCTATAATTCTCAAGCCTCTCCCAATCATGAATCCCCTGTAATCTTTACTTGGTGGCACAATTGGATGGGCCATATAATAGTGGCACTTATATCTGTTGTACTATCTCTTGTATTAACTCCCGCTGTCGTGAAGCTTCTATCTGCATGTGCCCTTAAAGGAGAGGAGGTAGTGGAGGAGACTCTAAACTTAAGGAGGGCCAAAAGATCACAACTGATTCCATAGTAAAATTGATATCCCTCACATGACATGTGGTTACTCCAATTTCAAACTCTATCAAGAGAAGAAACAATGTATCTATCTGTCTGGTCCACCTCTCTCCCACAATCCATCCAATTCAATTCTACCTTTATAATTTTAATTTTAGTCTGTGTTATACTGATTTGATTTCACTTTCTTTATAAAAAAAAAAATAGATGATCAGATAATTAATATATTGATCTTTCTAAAGGTCTAGATATAGGCCGTTATTAATTATTAATTAATACCTTCCCGCTTGGAAAAGGCTTACAATATTTATATTAAAACACCAGATACAAGGACTTCGCTCACTCACATTTTAAAAAAATGTGGGGGAGGCACACGGCTTCACAGACGCCAACGCCGTATGCGGTGAGCGCCAACCAACCAACGCGTTCCGCTCGAAAATAACTGGTTATTTTCCACAGCAAAATAACTGGCGAAAAATAAAGAGAGGGCTTGGCCCCTTCTTATTCATAACAGCTTTGACAATAGAAAATATGAAATAATATTTGTATAATTAAATAAGTGATTCATCAGAACACAGCTTCGACAATCGCATATTAGAAGAAATATTTACTATAGTTGAAACGCTTGGCAAGCGGCTTG